ATTGTAACGATAACCCAGTACCATACGGAGTTAGGGCCGACCGGATCCGGGAAAGAATCTCTTTGGAATCGGAGCGAGACCGTGAAGGCGAGAGAGATTACCGTTACCAAAGGGTATTTGGAGTCCGCCAAAGGGTAGGTTAGCATGAATGGTTCTTTTTGACAAGGGTCTCGGTAAGTTTGTCAAGTCCCCTTTAGACAAGCGAGGGGTTCTTAGCTTGGTTCCGAGCAACGGAAGGGTCCCCGATTGGAGGAGATTGGAAGGTGGGGAAATCACCCTCGGAGGGAATTTTGTGTGGATAGAATCCGAGGAGGTAAGGGGAAGAGCGACATCTCAAAGTCACCGCAATAATCTTCGTCGAGCCAGGGGCTTGGGCAAAGGTTGTAGTACCCTGGTCTTAGGCCAAGGGGGTGGGCTGGACCTATTGATCCAAGAAGCAAGGGAAGTGAGGAGGAGGTGGATAGTTAGGACCCGAAAGGTATTTAGCTTTGTGGCGATAGAGGAGGAAAGGTTCGCTCGGGCAGGTGAGCTCCCGAGGGCAAGCTACCCGGTAATCACGAGGGCCCCGGACTTTGTGTTCTTGAGCACATACGAGGAAAGGGTAGTAAAGCTCTTGGAGAGAGGAAGAAATTTAGGCCTGCCATTTAGGGCCCTGTGGGTACTGTACACTCACTGTCTCGACCAGGGAATCCCTCTGCGAAGGAAACTCTGGAGCGTTCTTAGGAGGCATGGGTCTCTTGAAGAATTTGTCGCTCTCACCTGAGAAGTATCGCGAGTGGGTTGTCAAAACAACATCGGTAGATGATAAGGTTTGCGCTCAGCGAAAATGGAGTGGTAGGAACGATAGAGGCCGGTGACGGAGGCCAGGTCTTGATCCCTGGGGACCCCCGCGTGACTTCCTACTGGATGAGTATTGAGAGGGGAGAGAACATCGGAGAAGGTGCTTACGTGTGGGTCCGAGCTCGTCGACTTACCTGGAAGGAAGGGGTGCAAAGGGGAGGTCTGCCTCACCTAGGACGATTCCTAGAGGTCCAGGCTACGGTATTCCTCGACGAAGGTTCGTAGACCGAAGTTTGGAAAGGTTTAGTGACCGGTCTAGAGACTCATACGGAGCACCTTGAGTCCGCAAAGAAGGTAGCAAACGAGCTTGTACTAAACAGTTACGAGGAAGGGACTTTTGAGTCGTGGACGCAGGTGTCCTTCGCTGAGCCAGGCGAAGTCCTTCGAGCTTCCAAGGTGATCCACGCAGCCTTGCCCGAATTCTTGGTGCGATCGCTCCTACGGGACCCAGAAGGGAGAGTAGTAGAGGTACTTCGAACCGCACAACGATCCGGGGTGCGGACGCAAGGGCTATTTTGGCTCTACACTCGGTGTGTCGACGCAGGGGTTCCCCTTAGGAGAGAGCTAGCGCCTATATTCGAGAGGTTAAAGGAGTTTGAGGGGGTGAGAGCTCACGTTGCTGACGTCCCGTATGCCCGCCTCTTTGGGGAAGAGCAAGTGACTAATCGGAAGGGGTACGAGGCTCGGGCGAGGTGATGATAAGGGGAATTCCCGGAACTCTTTGGGCTTCGATAGAGCCTATAGAAGAGGCGGGGGAGATCGTCTACATCACATTACCAAAGGCAAACCTAGAGAGTCCGACGAGAAGCGTTCGAAGGGAAGTGTCTGAAATCCGCCGAGGGAAGGCGTTCGTTCGGTTGTCAGTGAGTAGCGAGGAGGGGTTGGTGATCGGAGAAGCCAATATATTCCTTTCAAAGGAGGGTCTCCTAGAGGTGGTCCGTAGTTTGAAGTTGGGGGAGGATCCGCTCTTAGACGCACGAGCGGTACAAGGACGTCTAGAGAACCTAGTGGAGGAGGTGAGTCCTCGAGAAAGGTACCAAAGGATATGTCGAGTGACATACGCGGGTTGGGAAGAGGTACCGCTATTTGTCGACAGTAACCCTGTAGGAGTCCCTCGTTTCATCCTTGAGCGGGTCTACCCCTCCGAAGCGGTCAAAAGGGCAGTAGAGCGTAGGATTTTGATCTTGAACCAATTTCGGTTCACGAGATCGGACCTCCACGCCCTGCTATCGTGGTGCCTTGGAAATCCCTACCAGGACGATTGGTCGTCACTAGAGGACTTGGGCTACGCCTTCGAGGGCTGGGGTCGGCACGTGAGGGTGTCGACCATCTCGTGGAGGTATTTGGGAAAGATCCGCGAGACGGGGTTAGAAGGATTAGACCCCGCGGATCTCATTCGAATCGCGATTGCGTGCCGGCGAAGGAACTTGAGACATGAGCGAGCCTGATACCAGAGAACTGGTGGGACTAGAGAGGGTGAGGGCAAAAGTGTATAGAATCCTGATCCTTTGCTGGGAAGAGGAGAGGAGATCGAGGTCGGGGTCTTTGCGCAAGATCAAGTTACTTGAGGCAGCCACGGTTAAGATCTTCGACGAATTAAAGGAGGAGCTGCTCCGGGAGGGAAGATCGACATGTGAGCTACCTTCGCCTCTAACTCGATAACTTGGGGATTAGAGACGCGTGACGACGGGGCCGAGGTCGAAGTGGAAGGGGGAGCGGAGCTTAGCCCAGGGCTTGGAGAGGACTAAGTGGCGCAAGCCAAAAAGGAATTCCTCGTCGAGGTCCAGCGACTAGCTTTGTGGAAAAGGAGGTCCTGGACCACATTGGCTAGGTTTTCTGTTTTTATTAGAAAAGCGAGAGGAGTACGATTCTCTAGGACGTGGAGGGAACCTTTGTTAGAAGTTGAGAGAAAATTTGAGGAAGACTCTAGGTGGCTTGGGACTCCCTTCAAAGCCAAGTTGCACCTGCTCGAGTGGGATAGGACGGGAGAATACGAGAAAGCTTTGCGTCAAACGATGCTCGTCCAAGGCGAGAGAGCTCGAGGGAGGTGTGAGGATTCGTTAGCAGAGGCGGTCGAAAGACAGGGGAAACCCTGTCGCGGCCTTGGAAATGGCTTGGAAATCGGGGGCTAGGTATGGAGTAACTCTCCCCAAGATTAGGGAGATAAGAGAGGCTATTACGAAGTTTTTCGAGAACTACGGGCAGAAAACGATAGTCCGTTTTTCGATAGTTTCCGAGGGAGGTACCCGCACGCGAAAGGCTGAAATCTTCCTGTCTCCCGACGATAGGCAGTTCTTTGCGACCGAGTTATTTGGAGGAAAGGACCCGCTGGGTATCGCGGGGATAGCCCAAAACCGACATAGAAGGTTGAGAGGGGGAGTAGCAGAAGGGCGTGTGGTGGATAAGGTTGAGTACCGAGGGAGGGGAGAGGTCTCGAGAGCTGCCCACGGCCGGACCTGGGAAGTGCCTGCTTGGGCTTACCGTTTGCTTTACCCTGACGACGCCTCGGTAAGGAAGACCCAAATTAGAGGGCAAATAATAAAAAAATTCCCCCTAGGAGAAGAAAAGGGACATGAACTGTTCACCCTATGTTGGGAGTCTCTAGAGCATACGGACTTCGAGTGGTGGGCATTAGTCGGCGACTTCATCAAACCCCTGTTCTCGGGGCCGGCCGAAGAAGTAGATAGAAGGCTGATTAAATGGTGTTCTCAGGAAAGGATTCGGGGCATTTCTGAGCTAGAGATTGCCAACCTAGCGCTAACTGCTTGCAAAGAGAAAAGATTACGCGACTCTTGGTGGACCGTGACTAGCGAAGAGTCCGGAGGTGATAGTAAGGAACAAGAATCAAGTGAGGGGGAGAAAAGCTCGGAAGAGAGTAACGAGGCAGAAGGACAAGAGAGTGACACTAGCAAGGAAAGCAACTAGAGATTGGTGATAGGGTGCATGAAAGCGTGGTGGAGCACGGAGTCGCCCGATCACCTAAGACCACTGACATGGGGCGAACCGAAGAGGATACCAAGTTAGGTGCAAGATTAAGCAAGTCAGCCAAAGGAGTGACCGAGGGGATGAAAGTTATTGGTAGGACCTTAAAAAGCACGGAGGCACCCTTTGGAGAGAGAACTAAGGAGCTGCAAGTGAATTCCGAAGAGCGTTTGCACCGGGAAATGGAGCCGCGAATACCAGTAAGAGAAAGGATGGCAGAAGCCACGAGGGGCTTCCCAGTCGAAATCCGATGGGCGGGTCATGGGGACGTGGAAGAGAGAGCCGATGAGGGGCAGCAATTCCCTCGTGATAGGGCTGGGTGTTGGGCGCCGAGGAGGGGCGAAGAAGGGAGCCTAAGGAGGAGGGAACTAGGAGAAGAACGACCAACAGAAATTGGGGGAGGACCACGAAGATGGGCAGGGAGAGAGACCGGTTCCACGTGGGTACAGGACGAAGCGGTAGGAAAGGAATGTGGGAGGATTCGGGGATGTCTGGAAGGGGTTTAGGTTTCAAGAAACCGTGCGTTGGGAACGCGAAGACCCGGGTGATAGAGGCCGCCGTGAGGAGGAACCGTGGGGACCTCCGAAGGCTCGACCTCGGATGGAAGATTTAGACCCTGCTTGGTACAAACCCTACGATCCAGTGATAGATGGGCCGGCAGAAGGTCCTTACTTCCGTCGATATAACAACCGAAGAGTCCCCTACTACGATGTGAACCTGGGACTGGAGTCGCTGTACTTTAATGGAAGGGACGTGACCGGGTTCGTAGAGAAATGAGAGAGTTACGCCTACCGGAAGAAGTTTTCGGAGAAAGAATGGATCGACCACTTTATACAACATTCGGACCCGGAACTGGACCAGGCCATTAGGGCAATATACCCGGCAGATGGGAGGTGGAAAACCTTCAAGAGCAGCTTATTGCGGATCTTCGCATGTGACGATCTGATCCCCATGATAGAAGGGTTGCGTCGGGTCACGAGGGGGAGCAAGAGAGCCTGGTGGCATTTACTCGGAGATTCAAATGTTTGTCGCAAGCTTTGGTGGATAGAGGGATGCTATCGGAAGTAGACAAGTGTGTGATGTTCATGTTGCCTGCCTAAGGAAAAGAGGAAGGAGGTTCTCGAGAGGGCCCCTAGAGATTCTGCGAATTTCGAAAGAGTCGCCGAGGTGGTCTTTACGTGAGGAGGAATGGACGTGCGAGAGTACATGAAGGAGAGTCTAGACATGGCACTCCGGAGTATGCGTACTCAAAGGAACGACGATCCTCGCGGGAACGAGAGGCAGCCTCCTGGGCCTCCCGGACAACGCTGGGGAGGAGGACCCATGGGTTGGCGGAACAAACCCGGTAACCAAGGGAACTGGAGGAACGACCGAGAAGCTGGAGGGAATCGGGTCTTGGAATGGGGGAACTCCCGTTGGAAGGATGCGAGGGATGGAAGGTGGGGAGACCCTCCCCAACCTAGGGCCGCGGGGACTCATCCCGAGGTAAGTCACGCTAGAGCACCGCAGCCTCCCGTCCCTTCGCCAACCATGGGGGCGGCACCTCAAGTGGCCCCTCGTCCTAACTATCTGCCACCTCGAAGCGGGTGTGTCTATTGCAATGAAGATGGTCACATCAAGCGGGAGTGCCCTCACCTTACTGAAGCCCTAAGGTTAGGGGTGGTAAAATTGAATGAGAATAAGTGGGTTGTTTGGGGGGATGATGGAGAGGCGGTCTCCTTCTATCCCTCGATGAAGGTAAATATGGACAAAAGGATAGCCCTTCAAGAGGCAAGGCTGGGGAAGAAGCCTGAGGTTGGGGGAACCTCCAACTCATCCCGCGTCCAAATGACGGAGGCACCGGGAGGCGTGTCCATAAGGGAGCCGCAAGTATCTAGCATCAGGTTCATTGAGGCCAAGCCCGAAGAAGAGGAACCGTGTCTGAGAGTGAGAACCCAAGTTGGGGCAGGATCATCTAAAAGCAAGGAAAACTCGGCAGTGGATGGAGGAAAGAGGAGTGATGACGGCAAACAACCAATGGTCGATGCTAAAGCCGTAGAGGAAAGGAAGGGGGAAGAACCTACCTCACCAAAATCGCCTCGGAAGAAAGGACCAAAGAAGTTCGAGATGAAGTGCACCTTGGACGAGATAGACACGATTGCACCCCTTCGGAGGACTCTAATGCAGCCAATGCAGTGCACTCTTCTGGAGTACTTAGCGGCAAGCAAGAGCGCCCGAGACGAGCTCCTGAGCATCACTAAAAAGGTGAGAATTCCACTCGCAGGAGGGCCAACCGTTCCTGGGGATGGGCCCGCCAAGGAAGAGGTGCAATCTTCTCGGATCACAATGGAAGAACTGCCAACGAGTTTCTTCTCGGAGGAAGAGGCCAAAAAATTCTATGTATTGGGGAGCGGCCAGCTCCAAGCCGTAGTGAGTGGAAAAAAGATGAGAGCCTTAGTGGACAATGGGTCCGAATCCACCGTATGTCGAGACTCCATTGCGAGGGAGCTGGGGTTAGAAGTGGATAAAGGGGTATCCATGTCCATGGTAGTTGAGGACAACAAGCTCCAACTGGCGGAAGGGGTATGTCACAACTCCTTGATTGAGGTCACAGGAGTGGAAGCTACGATACCAATTTTCTCGGTGAAGGAGTGTTCTTCCGAGTTGATCCTCGGGAGAACTTGGCTGAGCGTGGTCCACGCTACCACAGTCGACCTTCCGAAAGGGAGTCAGACCCTCTCGATCCAAAGTCCGGACGGGATCCAAGTGGTCCTAAGGACTGTGGATGCTCAAGACGAGCGGAACAGAACCAGTATTCCAAGGAGGAGGGATGCCCAGTCACGAGTGTGTCGGGTCCAACTAGAAGAATCCCCCTTCGCCGAGAGGGAACCCCCGGGGGACAGGGTAGATGTCGAAGATGTTGGGGACCGAATTATAATCAATGGGGTAGGGTATGAGAAAAAGGGCGAAGAGGAAGAATTCGGTGGGTGCGTAAGGCTGTCTTTTTTGGAGGAATCCTTCTAGCTGGCGGAATTAAGAAGCATAAAACCATGGCGAAGAAAGTAAAACCCGTCGTGGTCAGCCGGGATAGAACGGGGGAAACCTCGATATCGGAAGAGGAGATAGCCGATATCATTCGGAAGCGGAAGGAGACCGAGGGGCAGAGGATAATGACCGATAGGCTAGCTAAAATGGACATAGGGGACGGAAACCTCACGGAACGAGAGAAGGAATATGTAGCAATGACCCTTAGGGATTGCGACAAGGCCATAACCTTCGACGATTCAGAGAGAGGGAGGATCGACCCGAGGTATGCTAACCCGCCCGGATCCATACGATCCCTCACGTACCTTGGAAAGATAGACCCCAATGGAAGTATGCGCAAAAAGAGAAGGAGGAGATAATGACCTTCATCAAATAGAAGATAAGGACGTTTGTCGCGGAACCTTGTGAGAGCGCCTATTCTAACAAGTGGTTCTTTCTGAGAAAAGAGGGTAGCAACAAATTGAGGTGGATCCAAAATCTCCAAAGGACCGACGTGGTCACCATATGGGATGTGGGGTCTATACCTGAGGCGGATCTACTCGCGGAAGGATCGGCGGGTCGCTCGATCTACTCGATCTGCGATCTCTTCTCGGGCTATGATGAGATCCCATTGTAGTACATGAATAGACATATGACCGCGATGCACACACCTTTGGGGCTGGTCCAAATGATGGTGGTACCTATGGGGTGGACAAATGGTGTGGCGGTATTCTAAAGAGCCATGATTGCAGTCCTCAAAAAATTTATACCGGATAAGGTAGAGGTCTTCCTTGACGACTTCCCAATAAAGGGACCGGTCCAGAAGGATGAGACAGAGGTCTTCCCCGGAGTGAGGAAGTTTGTGGTGGATCATATGGTAGACGTGAGGGAGGTCCTTGCGAAATTAGACGACGCCAACCTTACCGTGAGTGGGACTCAGAGTCGGTGGGGGGTGTCGTCAATCAGGATATTGGGCTTCATATGTGACAAGGATGGGTGGAGGCCCGATCCCGCGAAACTGGAAAAGTTGATGACTTGGCTGTCGCCACTAAAGTCAAGCACAGAGGTTAGGCAATTTCTAGGGGTGGTGGGCTACTGGAGGATCTTCATAAAAGCCTACAGTGAGAAGGCGGAGCCACTTAGACGGTTGCCTAGGAAAGTTGATGGATGAACCTGGGGAGAGGAGCAGGTCGCGGCCATGGAAACCCTTAAAGAAGAATTATGCGAAGGTGGACAAGTCCTAGGAGTTCCGTTCTTCGAGGACGAGGAGAACCGCCCCTTTATAGTTTCTATAGACGTGGGGCCTTGTTCCGTAGGAGGGCTTCTGTCGCAAAGGGATCAAAACGGAAAAGAGAGACCCCTTCGATTTGAGAGTCGGGCCTTGAATCCCGCCGAGAGGGACTACAATCAATTCAAGAAAGAAGTGTTGGAGGTATTGCACTGCCCAAAGACCTTCCGTCACTATATTTACGGGAGACGGTTCCTCCTAAGATTGGACCCAACTGTGGTAGCGGCAGTCCTTCAGAAGGACTTTTCGCTAACCGACCCAACTATCGCTAGGTGGATGATCCATATCAGGCTCCACGATTATAGGGTCGAGAGGATTTATGGGGCCAAAAATCAGGTCGCCGACGGGTTGTCCTGATTCCCAATCTGAGAAGAGTAATATCCGAGGTTGGAGGAAGCAACGCTCTCAATGGCCGAGAACGAGGTAATACAAGTCGCCGCTAACAAGGCGCGAGTGGCAGTCCGAGAGGAGGGCGAAGGCCCTAGGACGTTCCTCGCGCACCTTTACGACAGAAAGTGCCGAGATATAGGGTTGTACTTGGCGGGAAGGGAAAAAGGCACCGAAGTAGTCAAAAGGGAGGCCCTCGGGTATTGCTTGCGAGGGGGCCACCTCTTTAAGAGGCCCACCAAGTTTGCAATTCCCATGAGGGTCCTTTGTGACCCGGAAGAGAGGAAAGCGTTCATAGAGGAGTTACACGACGGGGTCATCAGCGGACACCGGGGAATAAAAGGGACGTTCGATAAGGTTCGTCGACTTTACTAGTGAGACAGACAATACGGGGAGGTGGAAAAATATTGTTCGACCTATGAAGCCTGCCAAAAGAGGGCTACTGTTTGCTATAAGGAGTCTCTCGTTCCATCACTCCCCACAGTGTCGGGCGAGAAGGTCCATGTGGACTTGGTGACCATGCCCAAGGGAGTCGGTGGACTCCGGTACATAATCAATGCCCGGGATGACCTCACTGGATTCGTGGAAGCCAAGGCCATTAAGAAGAAGACGGTCGAGGAGGTGAGTGACTTTCTCTTAGAGTACATCGCACGGTACGGGTGTGTCGGGAAGATAGTCATGGATAGGGGGTCCGAGTTCTCAAGCCAAAAGGTCAAAGCGATACTAGAAAAAGCGGGGGTCAGAGCGGCCTATACAACCGCCTATCAACCCCAAAGCAACGCCCCAGTCGAAAGGGGGCACCAAACGCTTGTGGATGTCTTAGCCAAGTGGTGCAAGGGACGAGCGGAACAGTGGCCAAAGTATTTGCGCTATGTAGTCTGGGCTGACAACATCACTCTCAAATCAAGTACTGGGTATCCCCCTTACACCCTCTGGTTCGGTAGGCACTGCCTGCTGCCCATCGAATTCCACGTCGACACTTGGACGAGTGTCTCGTGGAAGGACGACATGACAAGGGGCGAATTGTTGGGAGCAAGGATACAACAGATAACCGAAAAGCTTACCGAGGCAGGGAGAAACATCGAGAAGGAGAGGACGAAAGGAAAGGAAAGTGGGACAAGAGTTTGCGGGTCCGACAAAGGCCGGAAGGAACTAGTGACCTCGTCTTGGTGTACGACTTGTCGGTAGAAAAGACTTGGAGCAGGAAGTTAGCCAACCGGTGGATGGGGCCGTACCGGGTCCTAAAAAGATTGGATGGGGGAGCATATCTCCTGGCCGAATTAGACGGGACCAGGTTAAGGGGCCCTATCGCGGGAGCTCGCATCAAACTTTTCCAATGGAGAGAGACCCTTAGGGAGGAGCCAAAAAGGAAAGGGAAGGAAACGGTCGATCCGGAGGTGGCCGCCACTCACGAGGAGGGAGAGACTTCGAAACAGGGGGCTTCTTCGCGGCCACCTAAGAAGGGGTACAATGTTCGGGAACCTTCCCTGCCAAAAACCCTTAGAAGAAAGAAACGGCCTAGGGAAGATGACAGTGATACCGACCGCTTAGGAAAGCGTAGGTTGAGAGAAAGAAGGAGTGCTTCAAGGAAAGCCTTGAGAGTCAAACACGAGAGAGAAGAAAGGAAACGGAAGAGAGAGAGGAGAGAGCGAAGGATGAGGAGGCGGAGACGAGTATAAAATTCCTCGGGGATAAGGGGGGTGTTGTACCATAATTAGAGGAAACATGTATCGTAGTTTCAAAAGGAAGACTGTACCATAGTTGGAGGAAAAATGTATCCTAATCCCAAAAGGAAGGTTGTACGATAGTTAAAAAAGGCATGTATCATAGTCCCAACGGTAAGATACAAAGGGGGACTGTGCCATGATGAGGCGATACGGTTTACAAACCAAAAAAAGGGGAAACGAGGGACGAACGTAATCTAACGAGGGGAGGGCTAATGCGAACCATGGGAACGATAAAAATACATTAAAGGGATAAACGCTGGGTATGGGGCAAAGGTTAAGAAAAGGGCCATGGGGAAGCTCGCCGAGGACCGCGAGAATTGGGGTGTGGGCTGGTTGTCGGGCGGCTGCCTACCAGCCGGGGGCCTTTCTTTTGAAAATCAAAAAGTTTTTATACCTTTCTTTGCTGTTTTCGCGTGGGTTTCATGTTTGCATGCGTGTGATTGTGGGGCTTGTGGGTGTCGCTGAGCTTCCGGGCCTTCGTACTAACCCTTCGATGGACTGGAGTGACGGTTCGAACTATGGTTGCTAGCGGGCTCAGGCGGATTCCAAAGGATCAAAGTTTCGGTACCTAAGGCAAGGAATGAAGGGTTTGTGGCTGACTTTGGGGCGGTCCATGGAAGACTCGGATTGGCAGAGCTTGTGAGGACCCACGGTTGACCGCGCGGGGGCGGTCGGACTAGCTCTGGTCGCGCGAGACGAGGCATGGTGCTGACTCTCGGGGGCCGGAAGAGACTCATAATGAAAACAAGGTCGCGCCAGGATAGGTTTCGTAACAGGAGCGACAACTTGATGGGACCCAGGGCTATGGGAGATGCCACATCGACTTGGAGGGGGCCCGCCTTACGAAAGAAGGAACTGCCGGAAAACTCGAATCATCTCGACTACGATCAAGAGGAGATGAGACCACGTCTAGGCGGGTCGAGTGAAGAGAGGAAGTGATAACGGAGTGGCTGGGGAAGAGCTGCGAGAAAGGGGGATGTTCAAGAGCAGGGCCCCGGGGTTGGGGGAAATACTTACGAACTTCAGAGAAGCTTCCAGGGATCTTGGGTCCCACACTGACCTTCGGTCTGATGAACTAGTCAACGGCCACGAGCGGAGGGGAGAGGACCACAGAAAATCGGATTTTTTTGAGAACCAGCTCCACAAGAGAAGGGGGACATCGTCGAGCAGAACAGCCAGTCGAGGGGCGATGGGAGACCAACCGTTAGGAAGAAGGACGTCGGGAATGATGAAACTGCAGAGGCAAAGGCCCTGAGGCTGGAGGCGAAGCCTTTGACAGACGCTGGCCAGGGCCGCCTCAAAAACGGAAGCCGGGGATTCGGGAGAGAAGGGAAAAGGGGGGCGGAAGGATCAAACGTGCGAATGAAAGAGGGGGGGTTGGATAACTCCAACGGGAGAAGGGACGAGGGTAACCGTTAACAAAGAGGGGCGCGCGCACTCGTCTTCTTGATAACTGTCACAGGAGCTCAGCTGCCGCTAGGATTAACCGTCGGGAAGAAAGATCCCGTACAAGAAGAAAGGGGGGATGACGAGCGAAAACGATCAAGGGAGAGACAGTGGGTCTCAGCTTCCGGGAGAGGGGGGGAATGCAGACACGATGACTGCCTTGAGCGACGGGACCCACATGTAAGAGCACGCGCCTGGGCCCAAGAGCGGGAAAGATACTTCAATTCGAATGATTGGATACACACCGAGCGGGAAACAAAGACTTCCAACTGAATCTTGGAGGAAAGCGCGAAGGAAGGTGCCTTGGAGAACTAGTGTGGCGGGAAGATCGAACATTTGACGAAAATTTTGCGAGAGAAGTCGAGCTGGTCGGGGCGGTAGCTTGATTGGACAACAAAAGCGGAGAGAGGATCGACTTGCGATGGTCGCTGAGGAGCGGGGACTATAAAGGGAGAGGAGGAAAGGAAAAGGGGGAGGCGGACGAGGGAAAGCGCTCGGGACGCTCGTCCGCACACTTGTTCAAACGCTCGCCAGCCCACTTGTTCAAACGCTCGTTCGCACGCTGGAGAGTTGGAGGTCGAGCGAGCTCTTGAGGGAGAGGGAGAGAGATAGAGAGGGAACAAGGGAAGAGAGAGGACGGCGGGTGTGAGAGGGAAGAGAGCATGCGTCGCCCGCGAGAGCTCAAGAGCGCAGGCTGCTTGCGAACGAGAAAAACAGGGGAAAACAGGGAGAGAGACAGAGAGAGAGCGAGGGAAGAGAGAGGATGACGG